TCTGGATTTCACTATGTGTTCGTTTGTGAAAGAAGTCACACTATTAACATACAATATCCTAGGAAATGCATTTGAAGTATACTCAGTGACTTGAAGTAGAATTCAACCTACCTTTAGTCTGGCAGTAGCTACCACCATAACCATATGTACATCGGCATTTTCCAGACACACATTTACCACCATTTGCACAGGACGGTGAACAAGAGCGAACTGTGGAGCAGATCAACACACAGAGGTTTGTAGAGGTTAGTCCACTTCAAGCAAAGTGCCTGAAGACAGTGAATATTTTATTTTTATTATTCCACAATCACGATGACATAGTGCCAACAAACATATGATGCGGGCGATTTGAACCAGCCATAGTGTATCAACAACACCGCGCATAGTGACTTTGCACCAACATCGCATTATAGTGTTACAGCTCAGATAATCGCAACACTATCATTGTGACTGAGTCATGAAAATAATGTTGACTCGAAACTACATACAGTCAATCCGAATAGCGACAATTCGGGAATACTAGTAACAGCACTTTTCTCATGCACAATTAAGGGTCCCTAGGCCCTGTTGGCAAGGCTGACTGTTAACAACTGTTTACTAGTTAGACATGCCATGACAGTCAACATGTCGCTGGTTCTTACTTTGACAATATGTGCCAGTGTATCCACTCTTGCAATTACATGTTCCATACGCTGTACACGTACCACCATTCCTACAGGCCGGGGAGCAGGTCCGGGCTAGAGACATACACAATAAGACCATAACAACATGCACACAGCTGTGAAGAGATGGCAAGTTTTTTTGCGTTTATTATACTGAAGCAAATGTGCAGATGCGATGGATTAGAACTCTTGGCCAAACCATTTAGCTATAAGTGTATCTATAATAGACCTTATGCTTCCCCTTTAGTGTACGTGTTTCTTTGTTGTTTTTTTCTCCCTCTTTTCCATGGTTGGTCTCACCCTCCCCGCAATTCAATTGGCTGACAGGCTACGAGGTGCATAAATAAATAAAATACTAGTAATCCTGGAGTCAGGAAACTCATTACGTAATTAGGTACAAGTAGTAGGACCAGTTGACAGAATGCATTACTGTAGTTTTCAATAGCTCTATAGTTGGTCATAGCTTTATAGCTGGTCATAGATCTATAGCTGGTCAGACCTCCACAGCTGGTCATGGCTCTATACCTGATCTTAGCTCTATAGCTGCTCATAACTCTATAGCTAGCCAGCTCTATAGCTGGTTTTATCTCTATAGCTGGTCATAGCTCTATAGCTGGTCATATCTCTTTGGCTGATCATATCTTTATAGCTGTTTATATCTCTATAGCTGGTCACAGCTTCATATCTGGCCACGGCTCTATATCTAGTCCAGGTCATAGCTCTATAGTTGGTCATAGGTCCATAGCTGGTCATAGCTCTATAGCTAGTCATAGCTCTATAGCTAGTCATAGCTCCATAGCTGGTGATAGCTCTATAGCTGGTGATAGCTCTATAGCTGGTCATAGCTCTATAGTTGGTCATAACTCTATAGCTGGTCATAGCTCTATAGCTGGTCATAGCTCTTTCGCTGGTCATAGGTCTATAGTTGGTCATAGCTCTATAGCTGGTCATAGCTCTATAGCTTACTTTGGCAAGAGCTACCACTGAAGCCAGGTCTGCAACTGCATGATCCGTAGCGACATGTACCACCGTTGGCACATCCTCCATAACAGGCTGTGCGTCCAATGCACGACAATCCATGAACATGAAGCACACAACAGAATACAGATGTCATTGATAATCTCATGTTACAAACAGCAGCGGCGGTGGCACTGGCAGCAGCAGCAACTGTCCTCACATATCCTATCACTCTATCTCTGTGGTCACACGGTCACTGTTCAGCCCTTGCAGTCACATGTGGACAATAGTCTGAGTTAGAGTCCATACTTGACTTACACACAGTAGCAATTCTCTCAGAGCAAGTGCGTCCCTTGTAGCCTGGTTCACATCGGCATCTCCCTCCATCGCAGAAGCCATACACACATCTCGGATAGCACCTAGTGTTGCGATCTGCAGGACCGTAATTTGAGAATGCAGCAATAGTTAGAGAACCATGAGCATGACAAATTCGATTGCGAAGCAACACTCCAAAGAGTGCAGAGTGGAATGGCTCTTCACTGTATGCCTGAGTGTATGGAGACGGAGAAGCCTCATGGCATGGTCAGGGATGTCGGAAGGTAGTTTAGTGCAACGGCACGGCCAGCCATCTGAAGTACAGTTTACTTGTGTGGGAGGGGTGGCTGAGCCAACATTTTGGAAATTTAGAGCCCAGATCAATGTATTTTATTGATTCACGGGGTACCCAGGACAAAAAGGGGTACGGTCAATACCGTAGTGACCGTACCGTGTCCGGTGTCCCTGATGGTGCAATTGTAGCAGTGCTTTGTATCACACTTCTAAAACACCATAGCCAAGGTTCACTATATCCGAGGTACTATTCAGTGTATTGTAGTACATGTGAGTAGGGCAAAAAGTATGCATTAGAGCCCATGGGCTGTAACAGACCTTGAAGAATTAGACGTGAACAATTTAGCACAAAGCTGACATGGAATACTGAGATAATTGAATCATGACTTTTAAAATCCAACAGATAGTGGATAGAAACGTTTGCAATGCTACCGTGGAGTGCATATTGCCAAACCGCACAGCAGGGTGCTGCCGCTGTTGCAGTACAGGCAGTTCATGACTACCTCTATTGGCAGAGGGGTAAGGCTGTGGCTGCCAAGTCCAATGTACTTACAGTCTGGCTGATCTGGACCAATGCCACTTGGACGACCTGCATGCCAACACAGGAAGAAAGAGAAATACAAACATTAGGTACCAAACTACATGTACAATCATACTTGCAAGGACACACACACACACACACACACACACACACACACACACACACACACACACACACACACACATACACCACACACCACACACGCACACATACGTAGTGGACATTGGAATTCGTTGAGAAGTCAAGCGGCCACGGGGCGCTGGACTTGCAGCCGCGAGCACTGCTGCTCCATGTTTACAGTGTGCACTTGTACATGAACTACAGACTAGTACAGTCTAAAATCAGTAAGGGCACCGGCCCTGGACATCCCATCGGATTTCATTGTCCACATCAGTCACATGACTATGTAATGTAAACAAAACCCAGTAGTCAGTATCACATGAGCATTGCCAGGGCCAGTAGGGGTGGGTAACAATGTCTGTGTTTGTAACTGTTACTGGTGGTGATGAAGTGGAAGGGACTCTGAGCATGGATGAGAGTACAACATTCTAGGAAGTCTGGTTAGTAGTAGGCTATTAGTAGTACTCTTGACCCTGGTGACCATGGTGACGGGTACTTGAGTTACCTGCCCTTCCAGGTACTGTCTACTACTGCCTAGTACTGGTATGTGTACAGCTCTTGTCACACAGAGGCCTCCTGATCATCCAAGAGTGCTGAACAACACTGTGAGTAGAGCCCAGAGTAGGCTATGCTATAGTATAGGAAGAGAGAGGAAGATGTGTAGTTGCAACTCAGAGTCTCACGAGGCTCTGGGTTGTAGCATGCTCAACTCCTAACAGCTTCAATGCCGTGACTGGTGTAGTGGTAAGTCACGTGCTCGGTCGTATCTTACTCTTACTTCTTAGACTTAGAAAATACTACTGTCGGTCTAGACAGCAGGGATCTAGGGAGGACATACCTGGCGGCCCAGCGTTTGATGAGTAGACAAGACACGTCAATGCCATGAAGACACCGACTAGCGTTGCACTTGACATGGTCGAGCTTCGATCACGAACAGCCACTGTTCCGAAGGTATCAGCTTTGAACCACTCCGCAAATCTATGATCAGCACTCTGACGTCCACTTCCGTCAGGGCTGCTCAGGATGGTAAAATAATTATGGGCCGACTTCGTTGTGATTCCAACCCAGGTATCCAACTAAACAAAACAAGGATCGCACTCGAATTTATACTGCCACCGCTGAATTGGACCAGACTGTTAGCGCCGAAGTCAGCGTGGGCGGTTGGGTTGACTTGGTGGCGCGCTCCGGGGATGAAAGAAGACCTTTGCCTTTCGGATGAATGTCAGCCGGATTGCGCAGTGACCACAATCCATGTAGTATGCCAGCACTGGAAATGACAAGATCAGAGAACACATCACTGACATCTGGTCGAACTCCCGGCAACCCATGACGCACTAATGCTGCCAAGGATTCTGCATTGTTCCTGCACACTCCGTTCTCTTCTCGACCTGCAAGCTACACAATGGCATGACATGCATAGCGAAGAAAGTCGTTGATTCGTTAGTATTCCGGCCGATGGTGTAGAACAACCAAGAACAGATCACATGTAATTGTTCGAAGAGAACATTTCAACACTGCCATCATGGTCATGGACCCCAGAGATCGATAAGGCCGTGTGGATTCATTCAATTTCAAGCAGTGTTACTGGATAAAACGAAATTCTCCTGGGAGCTCAGCAGGCCGGATCTAGGCGGAGACGAAGCCTTCGACGATTTCTGGCGCGGGGCACGGTTTTTGCTTCAAAATCTTCGCATCATTCATCAGTCATCATCTGTCCAGCTAGCGCCTGTAAAGTGTGTATGGTTGGCTGGTATCAGACATGCATAAGTGGCCGTGGGTGCCGGGTGGCGCTACTTCATGCATGCGTCCTTTTTGGTATTATGTCATGTAGAAATAGAATACTAATATTATTACTATATTACCGGTATAGATAGTGCTAGTGAGGCAAGAGTACAGTGTCATGGTTTCGTACCCTTGAGGATTCGTCCTGACTTGGTTTGGCTCTCTCTTCATGTTCATTTCGTTGGCTATGAAGCTGAGACCCTAGCCTAGGCCTAGGTCGGCAGAGCTCTCCCCGATCTCACCACCGCTGTCACGGTTCATGGCCGGCTAGGCTGTAATGCCGCTGTATGTTTCTTCTGATGTGCTTCATGTTTGGCATTATTTTGTGATTATTTCAAACACTCGTTCTATTTTTTTTCTTTTTTTTTTCTAAGCACTCGTACTCGCAGACTCCATTGCAGCCATTCACACATTATAGCAATATAGGGTACCTCATGTAGCTCACTCGTTCTATCTTATTCTTAGCCACACTACACTACAGACTGAGTACAGTCAGTATCATTGTGCGATCATTGCCACTGCACTGTACCAGGGAGCCCTACACATACCCTGACCACTGCCATGCCGCACGTAACGCTTTGCGCTGAGCACCATGGCAGCAATAGTGCACACGACTCACGAGTACAATGTACATGTGTCAATGACGTCATTGTACAGACCTTGGACAACGAAGGCATTATGATATGCGGATAATGCCGGCAGAAAAATTGGCAGAATTCGGTACTTTTTCTGGTAAGTTTCATGCATGTTTGGTATGTGGATAAAGAAATGGAGCAGAATTCGAGGCCCGCCATAAGGTTTGTATGGTTCTGCCAATTTCACTGCTTTTCGAGGAGAATCTGCCACCTTTTCGAGCATTTATCCGCCTAACGAAGACCTACCCGGACCCTGGAATAGACAGTCCCGTGCGTACATGTACATGTATGTTGTATTCTTTTATTCTAATAGATTCTTGGTTGGAGGAAAGCAAATCAGCACACGAAGCACAGAAGCCATATTATACTGTAGTTTCAACTAGGCCTTTCGTACCATTACTTTTCAAGTCGAATACAATGGTAGCAAGCAAGTCCTTATACTAGCACCGTGGTCCCCACTGTCTATACTACTATAGCACCGTGGTCCCCACTGCATAGCACCGTGGTCCCCACTGTATAGCACCGTGGTCCCCACTGTATAGCACCGTGGTCCCCACTGTTGTTTGATCCTAGACTACTAGTGATATTCATTGTTTCACTGTGTAGTTGGCGCCACTTGCGCAACCTTTCAAAGTGCTATTTGGTCAATGCTCTGACCGCCAAATATGTACTTGTAGTTGGCGCCACTAGCGCTATCTTCTGAAGTGCTATTTTGTCAATGCTCTGACAGCCAAACTGCCGGTTATAAGGACTTGCTTGCTACATTGTACTCGACTTGAAAAGTAATACTAGTAATTATGGTACTAAAGGCCTAGTCGAAACTATGTCTATGGCTTCTGTGCTTCATGTGCTGATTCTTTTATTTGCGAGCACGAATCGCTTGGCTCCAGATTAGAGTGTAGGCATTTTAGTTGTGCATCTACAATACTACATGGTACATGTAAGTCTAAACTGCATGTCATTGCGGGGTGTAGAAGTACGGTCATGTCATCATAAGGACCCCCCCACACACACACACAAACACAGTCATGCCAATGCCCGGCCGTGGTTCCCTGTCAGCTGTTTGTTGAATACTGTATTGATGGATAGGGGCACGCGCAGTACAGCGGTGCATGCTTGACAGGTTCAGCACTTGAACTCCGGCTCCTTGGACTTGGACTGTTGAGTGTTGGAGTGGCTTTGGTTTGGGCTTGATCTTGCCAGTCTTGGACTGTCTCTAGCTCTTGGCTTTCAGTCACATCACTCACAATCCTAATAATACCGGTACCTTTCATTCCTCTACACACACACACACACACGCACACACACACACGCACACCTGATCATTAATTTGACTACTGTACATGTACTGGATTTTCAGCTGTCTGGAGATGTCGTGGTCTTTCCAGATGTCAACTAACTGCAGCATACGCTCTTTCGCCATGGCAATTCTTGACCGAATATCGACCGAATATCGAGGAATATCGTGGACTGGTATGTCTCTGCATGAGAATTGCCAGTTGGCATCTGACAGAGATGCCTGGCAGTCACACTGTGCATCTACTGCTTACACAGCTGCATAATGCCGTTTATTATTAAATATTTTATTATTTTAGTTTAGAGAAAGAAAGGGATTCAAACAAGTTTTCGTACAACACTCATCAGGAATCTTCGTTGTACTAAAGGACACTGAAAACAAAATTGAACTATTATAGAAAATCTAACTTAGAGAAATAACACTAAGAACAACAGCAGTGAAATTTACAAGTGTGAAATTTAACAATGAAAGCGAGAGCAATAACGAATGTGTGTACTAACACTAAACTTGCAACTGAAAAGTGAACAAAGAAGAGAAAGAAAGAAGAAAGGACAAAGTGATAACAAATAACAGCAGTACATTACACCTAGAACATTAACGGCCAAGCTTGGCCGCACCAAACATGACACTTTACTTGAACAATTTCAATCCAATTATACTATCTTTCTGTACACACAAATTAGGCTTATACAGACGCTGACAGATGGCTTCCAAATTTGCAAATTTATTGTGCCGTGGTCGTCATGGTTATGGACTGCAGTTAAAGGTTTTGGAAGCCATCTGTCAGCGTCTGTATAAGCCTAATTTGTGTGTACAGAAAGATAGTATAATTGGGTTGAAATTGTTCAAGTAAAGTGTCATGTTTGGTGCGGCCAAGCTTGGCCGTTAATGTTCTAGGTGTAATGTACTGCTGTTATTTGTTATCACTTTGTCCTTTAATAATAGCAATGAAAAGTATGAATGCCGCAGACATCACCACGCAACATGACAATTTGTCAAGGTTTGGTTTTGTGTGTTTCCAAAATCGATTTTCACGTTCCGATCATCAGTGGAAATACGGAACTAAAGAGATCAAGGGAAAAACAAAGGTTAAAAATCCAAAGAAGTGTGACACATGACGGGTAACTTGTGGTAAGTTTTACAGATTATTTGTATACTTTGTCCTTTCTTCTTTCTTTCTCTTCTTTGTTCACTTTTCAGTTGCAAGTTTAGTGTTAGTACACACATTCGTTATTGCTCTCGCTTTCATTGTTAAATTTCACACTTGTAAATTTCACTGCTGTTGTTCTTAGTGTTATTTCTCTAAGTTAGATTTTCTATAATAGTTCAATTTTGTTTTCAGTGTCCTTTAGTACAACGAAGATTCCTGATGAGTGTTGTACGAAAACTTATTTTAGTTTACTATTACAGCTGTATTATTTTTTCGGCAACGCAGATGATGATGATGATGATGACATGTACTGGAGCATGTGCTGCCTTTCCTGATCTCTGGTCAGAATAGCGGAGCCCGGCCCGCCAATGACGATCATGTATTACTAGAGACGTACAATGGGGGAACACCGATACGTGCTCGCTAGTATTTCTATGCACCATACCCTCAGACCCAGTCAGACTAAACGAGCAGCTTGTACATACTGATTACATCTTGGATATTGAGCAAGGGCGTAGGGCGTGGGTGTTTTTAGCATTTGGTAGTTGATCCACAGTCCTCACTGCCAGTGCGTGCGTATGTGGTTCACACGTACGTACTGATCCCGCCCACCAAGGCCGCGCGACCATTGCGGTGCCGCTGCATTGTGTTTAATATCGCATGCATGCAGTGGCATAGTGTATGGTTTCGACCTTGTTTCGACATGCATGATCATTGATCATTCATTCATTGCTGCATGCAGCGTTGCTGGACTCCAGCTACGTCACCGACGTAGCTGTTTCATCATTCATGGCAGGATGAAACAAGAACGAACGTAATGACTATGTCGTTACAAAACATCATACACTTCATCTCCACGTCGCCTATTAGACTAACGTTACTCATACTCTGATAAATACGTTACTGATAGAAATACTCAGTCCACAAGACGAAGGTCAGCTTGTCTCGGCGATTGTTCTACGCATTTATCTATCTTTAATTCATTAGTCGACGCTGACATTGTCAATACACTGAACATTACGGAATTTACCACTACATGTAGTAGTATGTGAGTTATGCAGAGAACCTGCAGTCAGCGGTCACATGTCAAGGTACGCTGGCCTATTGGCAAGAGTACCTGCTTCATGCGGGCGACGGTTGCACATCTAGTCGCAGCACTATCAGTGGCAGTCGCGATCCCCTGCATGCTGCAAAGCAACGTCTAGTTGTGTAGTATCCCTGCCCGACCAATACGGAAGCATTACGGAACTAATACGGAGCTTGCCTGATGTATATTTAGTGTATCTCTGTATGTAAGCGTACGTCGTCTGCTGCATAAAAGCGGCTGCGCATTTCTGTTTTGATGAAGAGAAGAGAAGATTAGATTAGATTGGATAGCAATGAAAGCTAACTCGAAGAATAAGGATTCAACCTCTAGGTGAGCACCGGAGAGAAAGTTATTTATTTTGCCGCTTCTTCTTTCACGAACGATTATATCTCAGGTGTGTACCTGAAAGTAGAATAAAAGTAATTATTGTTGATTTCACCGCGCCTACCACTCGGCTACCTATTACATTGGTGGCAGCGGTGTGTTTAAAAAATAAATAAAACAACGTAATTCGACCCCAGACCCCCATGGCTCAACCCGCTGCAGCTCCCTGCGACGAATCAAGATGAGAATCATGTTTCTTGCCGTCCTGGGCTTGGCCCTACTTATTAGCTTGCAGCACAGTCAGGGTGCTAGCGTGGATCACCCTTCCCTCCGCATGGCATCCACTGGAGACTCCGATGGCGATTCCAAGCGACCTATTACATTGGTGGCAGCGGTGTAGTTTTAAATAAAACAACGTGATTCGACCCCAGACCCCCATGGCTCAACCCGCTGCAGCTCCCTGCGACGAATCAAGGGAGGGTATTCCCCAAGACCAGCAGCGTTTGATTTTCCCCGGCACGCAGTCGGAAGCAGTAGCCCACTCTTCACTTTGGTACTTCGCCTCCGTGGTGGAATGCAGATTTTCGTCAACACTCTTCCTGGCTAGACCATCACTCTTTACGTCACGCAAAGCGATGCTATCGACAATGTGAAGACCACGATTCAAGACGAGGAGGGAGGTCATTTGTCTGACGCCGAGCTAGCCGCTCTGAGTGACCGGCTCAACCAAGATGAAGATAAAACGTGGCTTGCTCTCCGCCGTAGCTCCAGCCGCCGCCGTGGTTACTAACGCTGATTCCAGGTATGGCATTTTCTTTCCTGTCTTCCTTCAGTCTTCCTATTCTCTTCAGTCTTCCTTTATGCGAGTGTGTGAATCCAGTTTAGTTTGGTAGGCGTCTGATCATGGTGAGCCACGGCTTACCCAGCTAACGTGGGACAATGTGTGTGACAACGCCCCTTATAGGTATAGTGTATTCAGTTCGGTTTTTGACCTGCGATGTTCCTGGCGGGTTGTGCCAGCGTTGTGCAGCAAGAGTGCTGTGGATTTTCAGGTCCTATTTGGAAAACAGTTCTTTCCCCTTTTGACCCCGTGAGATCGTGTGAACCTGGTGTGCTTCTACTTTATGATTTGTTATCAGTTCATTTCTTCTGTCTACTCTAAACGTTATCATTTCCGATATAATTTGCCATCTTCCGGTTGACGCTGTGTTCGTAACTCTTCACTAATTTTTTGAAAACCACGAGGGCGTGATAATCTGTAGGAAGGGAGGGTGTAGTATCCCTGCCCGACCAATACGGAAGCATTACGGAACTAATACGGAGCTTGCCTGATGTATATTTAGTGTATCTCTGTATGTAAGCGTACGTCGTCTGCTGCATAAAAGCGGCTGCGCATTTCTGTTTTGATGAAGAGAAGAGAAGATTAGATTAGATTGGATAGCAATGAAAGCTAACTCGAAGAATAAGGATTCAACCTCTAGGTGAGCACCGGAGAGAAAGTTATTTATTTTGCCGCTTCTTCTTTCACGAACGATTATATCTCAGGTGTGTACCTGAAAGTAGAATAAAAGTAATTATTGTTGATTTCACCGCGCCTACCACTCGGCAAGACGTGGAAGATAACACATGACCTCAGCCCTGTCACTACAGCCTACAGCCTAGTACAGACTGTCAGTACGTAGATCTACAGGGCAGTATGTGCTAGTGATATACACAGTTGGGAGACTGAGGGGATAACTCTGATCTTCACGCTCTGTGCCATCTTTAGATACATGTAACTGGTGTTCTGGCAGTAGGGACCCGAACTTCAAAACCGGGCGTAGATTATCGCTAAAATGGGCGAATTCTGCATCGCGCAATTCTGAGTCTAAAAGGAACGTTGTGAAGATAGGATACCGACCACTTCAGTTGTTGGCAGCTCCGGTTCATGTTTCGGGCTTACCCAACGCGAAGCAGAACTTCTGGAGGATGAACAACGACTGATCATCCGGTACATCTACAAGCTACAACCGTACTTCATCCCGGAACCGCCACGAAGAACGTGGCCTCCCGCGTGGGCCTCACCATATCCGATGAACACCTCACTGACTGAGCTCACAAGTGACATTGAGGCAGCCGCAGACCCGCCGCCCCTCGCTATTGCCTCACGTGACATACAGAATAAGACCCGGTACGTCATCATGGTCATATTGCCACAACAACTGGTGTTTCCGTGCTTCGGGGCAGGGCTGCGAGTCTGCGACTAGACAGCCACTCACTGAGCGCAGACCGAGCTCTCCAGCTTTGCGACTTTGCAGAGACTTCACCCATTCACCCATTCACCCATTCACCATTGATACTGTGTGACTAGTATGAGTATGAAAAGCTTGTGAAGGCCTCTTTTGCGGGCAAACAAAGTGAGTGTACATATGTACAATCATGTAATGTACATGCTACTGGAGTCTAGAGCGACCACCATGTCCAACTGCTAACATCCTTTATTGCTGAACCCACAAATAATTGTGATACAGATTGTAAACCATTCGAGGTAGAAGAGAAAGCCATTAAAAAGAAAAGAAAGAGAAAAAAGAAAAAAAGGTTATTGTACCATGCCAGACGGCTATTATTAAGTCATGTACCAATTGTAGTACATGACGTAGTAGTCACGCACCTACAAAATACTTTGCAGGATAATATTTAAATTGCCTAGCATGCCTACAAATTGCATGTCCAACACTAACAGCAAGAGTATATAACCACCCAGGTGGTTATACTCTTGCTAACAGTTATCAGCCAACCAGGACCAGGTGAATTTTAAAATGATTCAACTGGTCCTTGTATAGTAATTATTCGGTTGTGAAATGAGGCGCCTGTTGTTTCAGAAGAAATACTCTCTAGAGTCTCTACACGCTACTTTAAAAGTAATTCAACTCAGTGACGCTATCTGTACAGTAGACTGGGCATCAGCATGCTATACTACGGGGTACATGCACATGCACTCTAATCCACACTTGCTGGAAGTTAGTTATGCAATGAGGTACACAAGTCAGCACTCAGCAATGGAAGACGGCTGTTTACTAGTATTTGCTGCTGCAATGTTCCTGAGCTCATCATGGTTATTCACCAATCTTCGGACAACAACAATGCGGTCTGAAAAATTGCAAACAGCAAATAACTGACACCCTTGTTCCATTGCTGTCTTGTGTCATTCGGCTCCGGACTTGCGGCATCGAGCACTTTTGCAGTGGGAGCGTGCACATAATCTTTTTTTCTTCTTTTTTCCTACTTGGCAAGTCTGTTGTCAAAGATTTTAATTCATTGGAAGGCTTTGGGCAACATGCCCGCTTGCAATGATAGCATGACATGTACTTCATTTTTTTTATCCAAAACAAGATCCAAAGGACAGCAGCTTAAACCACATACATGTACATGTACAAATCCGTTGATCCCCGAGCTGCAGAGAGTGCTCAATGTCAGAGACAGAGCTTAGTACATAGCAGACTCAGCGGAGGACGTTCAGGTTGGTTTTAACTCTGAGTTTCATGCCGTTAGGCAATCATCATGATGACTGATGATTGCCTAACGGCATGAAACTCAGAGTTACATTGTACAACCAACCTGAACGTCCTCCGCTGCTATGTACATGTACATGTATGTAAAGTGGCCGCAGCACAATTTTTTTCCAATGCAACAAAAGCTTATTAAAAAGAGGGAGGGATTGGAGTTTAAAACATTTCGAGCAGGAATTTCCAATATACACTAGCAGGTCAAAGCAATGCATCTGTGATCATTGTATGCTTGAGTAGTACATGGCAGTCATGGTACATTCATTACTCACATGCACCTGGGTAGTACATCTACATGTATGTACTTCGAAGTATTATACTGAATGTCATAGGCATGGTATGTATTAGGTACATGCATTGAAGGCGCCAGTCGTTTATGATGCCCTATAAAAGACTATAATTATCATTCATACACCGATGTGAAAAGAGACATCATGAGTTTCTCCAAATTCTCAGGTTGTACAGGAAACAGCTGAACAGCTGCGAAAGACTACAAAAGTGAAAGGGATTGGGGGGGGGGGGGGGGGCAATTGTAACTTAATGGCAAATTGGAATTCCGAACGGCAATGCTCTCCAATTTTGATAGGTGGTATTTTTTGCGGCAGGGCTGAATGACAGTTGCGAAGCTGACAGGGATCAGTATTTTAGTAACACCTTCAACTGGCGAGGTCTTGACTCATTTTTTGGCCTGCAAGGGGAAAGAAAATGAAAAAAAGAAAAGCAGGGCATAAATAAAATAATGAAATGAATGAATTCGAATATTTTGCAGGCAACCTGCCTACACTCAAGAGAGCACTGCATTTCACACCAATCCATTAGCATGATTAGAGGTATCGTTTCAACGTTTCGGTCTTCATGACCATCTTCAGTGTAGGCAGGTTGCCTGCAAACTATTCAAGCGCAATGAAGCTGCGTGAAGCGTCCTTCAAAATTTTGAAATGAATGAATGCCTTTTAAACAATCATGGGTTTCCAGTGCACAAATAACTCTCTCTCTCTTTCCCTCCCTCCCTCCCTCCCCTCCCTCCCTCTCTCTCTATCTATCGCTACATGCAACAGGCTACTGGCACTGTGTAAAGTTGTGGTTCACAGCAGGAAGGGGTGTACGAGTTTGCTGTCGCTGCACTTCTGCTATTTCTGCTCCATTTTTGGTGGTGTTTGCACAAGAACTCTCCAATTTCAAGTTGCGATGTTAGCAACTTTTGAGCTTTTTCTGAAAATATGGATGCGATTTCAACAACTAGCACTTGTTTTGGCATGGTTGAAAAAAAGCATAAGTTGCGAAAAAGTATAGCATCTTTGGGAAACGGCAATTACTGATACACACAAACCAGCAGTGGAAGCATTGTGCACTGGCGGGTGGGGGGGATACTGGCTTCTGCTGCTGGGAACATGCCCTAATGCATGACTCATCAAAGCCGGCATACACTCGGCATCTAATACTGAGGTTTGAGAGTGACCTCTCTGGGGTTTTTAGTCGAACTTTCATAAACCCAGTTTTGTCGAAAGTGCCGATGTTCGCAATGCTAACCTTCTACACTGCAATGGCTCCCATTCATTTTGTTTGCAGATTCCGACTGTAAGTGACTGGTACGTGATGTACCCGGAATGTAGCATTATGGTGTTCAGTGTACCATGCGGCACTATACTCAATACTCGGTACTCACAGTTGCCAGGTTCAACAGTGTGTTGAGGTTAAATCCAAGGTTTCCCGCAATCTTGTTGCCGGGTAGTGGTCTGGGCCGTTCAGGCCTAACCACTGGCGGGTTTATTTCAGCACGTAGAGGTAGGCACACTTGTTTGCTAACAAAGCTGGCGAGTTGGGACCGCTCCGATGCTGACACTCTGAATAGCTCCTGACCTTGCTGCACAGCTCCGCTCACATCCAAACTTTGCGGTTGACAAGGAACACTCTTTGCTATCACACTGGGTGCTACACGGCCGAATGCCCTTCTCAGCTGCCGTGCAGTACTGCTGCATGATTGCTCATACTGTACACACACACCACCAGGCTGGTTGTTCAGATCAATCATATCCTGAGCTGAATGGCCACCAGCAGCTGTCATGGCCGATCCCAGACTACTGAAGTGAGCGTCGTGATGTGCAGTACTTCTTGCTTGGTAATCAGCCCATAGCTTGTCAATGAACCCGTGGTGCAGGAAGAAGTCTGGTGATTCAGCAGCATCCAGCGTGCACATAGTGCCATGGATACGGCAATGAACGGTGTTGTGTAGTTCTCCACGGACGCGCAGTTCAAAGTCATTGAAGGACGATACGGGTGTGGAAAGTATGTCATTGACTACCAGAGCGCTAGGCGTAGTTCCAGTGAAATCACGCTGTAAGCAACCGCCTGACACAAGTGAAAACTGTCCACTGCGGAATGGTCCCGTTGTCACACATGATCCAGAGCCATCTCCACCATACCAATGTGGTGCACTACCCCACAATGGTGCACTCCACGGCGCAGTACTATGCAGAGTCCAGTCCCAGTATGGCAGAATAACATTGCTGTCGATGGCCAGCAAGATGTTTTCCAGTTCCAGAATAAACCAACGATGCCATGGCAAGAACTGATCCCTGGTGTGAATGCCAGCTGCAAAGTTGATAGCATGGCTTCTCAGCAGAGTGCGCAAAGCAGGCTGTCCATACGCTGTCTTGTAGGTATCAATATACAGCTGTCTCTGTGCCGGTGTCATGCAATGTATTTCTATTCGCCTTCGACAAGCGGTTTGAACTGCACGGCGACACAGAGTTACAAAATAAAACTACAATATGCAATTTGCAAATAACACCAACATGCATGTATATACATTACTCTGGTGAATACTGGTGGGTACACACATTGCACACTCTTTCAGTTCACTCAACACAGGACCAGCAGTCAATGTCTAATCAGCCAGACCAACCACAACACCCTGGTCCCACACCTACTTCACACAGAAAGTTTAGCCTGATCCTTTACAGTTTGTCTTGAACCTCTACTACCCACAGTTGATATAATCGCCGCAAAGGTTTGTTCACTGACGGGTATGATTTTTCCATTTCTTACCTGCATTCTGACACTGACTGCCAGTGAACCCAGATGGACACGAGCAGCGGTTGTTTGTTATGCACGTTCCACCATTTTCACACTGAGGATTGCATGTTGGAGGTACTGGAGAATAGCAGGAGAGTGAGAGATACGTTTGAGGCAAACAAATCCATAGTGACAGAATTTACAGTTTCTAGAATCAGACTCGACGGTACAAGGAGAAGACTGTAAGCTCAGGTAAATGCAAGAGAGGAGTTGGTGATAATCAAGAATGGAGAAAGGAAGATCAAAAGAGAGAGAGATAGTGAGAGAGAGAGAGAGAGAGAGAGAGAGAGCTAGAGAACGAGGCTGTCTGGTGATCGTATGCAATATCTCACACAGAAGAACACCCAACTTCACATAGCAGTATACCCCATACCTCATGTATCCGGGTCGTTCGGGACCTGGCACTGCCCGTAATTTAAAAAAGTTCGTAACTCCGAATCACATATGGTGTGACGGGGAAAGGCCATAAATATGGCAGAGGACGTCAGAAAAATTGACGAAAGAGTAGTAATATTTCCACTGAAAGAGTAGTAATGTTTCCACTGAAGCACGCCCAAAGGGTGCCCGGTAGACGGAAGGGCCCGTAACTTCGGGGTCCGGATAACCGAGGTATGAGTGTAGTAATTTGCTGTTGCAACACAGCCAACAGCTCACCCAGACAATACCACCCAGTTTACATAAAGAACCATGGAACTAAAACGAACGGCTAGTTATGAACTACAACAGAGCCAGAGAGGGAGGATGCTCTATGCAGCTAAGGTACAATGCATGCCAGGGTAACCGAAAAGGTAACCGTGCATGCTGACTGTGGTGAATGCATAACGCATCACTACACGAGCTGGTGTATTCCCTGCAAAGGTTTGTTCACCGTCGAGCGTGATCTCTCCATTTCTCACCTGTATTCTGACAGCGGTTTCCAGTGAAGCCAGACCGACACGAGCAGCGATTGTTTGCTATGCACGTTCCACCATTTCTACACCGAGGACTACATGTTGGAGTTACTGCAGAGTAGAAGGGAGACGGTGAGAAACACGCTTGGGGCAAAACGTGACACCCATAGTGCCTGAATAACACCATGCTGCTCTTATAATACACTTGGCTATAGACTTGCTGTCGGTCACAGTGCAGGGGCGGATCCAGGAATTTTTCAGGGGGGTTCAAATTTTTTCGAGTGCAAAGAATTAAATTCGCTTCAAACTGTTTTCGGTTCGTTCACTACACCGGGAGTTGCAAAATCGTTATTGTCACGGTAGCCCTTGCATTGCTTGCCAATAAGGCAAGGGTAATGCGTTTAGAGCCTTACAAAGTACAAAGCTGCAGCACAGGCAGAAAGTCTAAGGCCGTGACTGCAGCATTTTCCGAACTGACGGAAGGCGAAGTTCTCTGACTGTCCTCCGGCTGGGACTCCGTGTCGTCACATTCGCGCCGTACATGGCGGAACGAAGCCAAGCTCAATGGCAACTGATCGGCCGCTCGCCTCTTTGGCAGACGTTGCGACATGGCAAACTACACGACAAACACAAACATTATCTTCGTACTGCGACGGAGGAAACCTACAGTCCAGCCAGCGCGAAATAAAACAAAACGACAAGGAAGGTAAGGAGGACAAGTGGCAGTTTCTCCACCTTTTGCTCCACCGCGACATGGCAATCTACACGACAAACACAAACATTATCTTCGTACCGCGACGGAGGAAACCTACAGTCCAGCCAGCGCGAAATAAAACAAAACGACAAGGAAGGAGGACAAGTGGCAGTTTTTCCTCCTTTTGCTCCACCACTTGAACCATGTGAACTGTCGATCGTTTCAAGTCACATGATACGCGTACAGACCCTTCGATTCGAACGGTACGCGTACAACAGTCCCGACCACTGGATGCATGCAGTGACCTACTGTAGTACCTGCACTGCCTGTACGTGACTACTTGCAGTGAAGTCTACTGGCTACGCTGCATGTACGCTACACTTCGCTGACTGCGCACGTGGAGATCACCGAAAAATCGACTGGACCCATGGTCGAAATTATTTTAGGGGGTTCGTCCGAACCCCCTGAACTGTATCCGCCCCTGCAGTGAATATCCATACAACATGGATCCCAGTACTGTGTGGAACCATTCAAGCTAACCAGAACTCCTTTTCTAATCTGTGATACATGTCTCTCACTCGACAAGGGAAAGCGAAGAGAAGATCGTTCACACTGGCTCAATACCACAAGAACATAAATTCACAACAAATGGACACTGCAGACCCTAGGATTATGAAGAAACTATTTCTAGGATTTAACACTAGGATTCAGCTTGTATTTGCACGGCATTTAGCGGATGTGCGGATCACGGAGAGTTGCTTACCTGGATCATTGCATGTTGGTCCTGTGAAGCCTGGTCTGCAGGAGCAGCGGTTATTGGCCAGGCACGTGCCACCATTGCTACACGCTGGTCTGCAGATTGGCGCTGAGGCACAGGCACAGATTCGACATCCCGTCGCATCCGTCTGCTGTCCGTGCGCGCATCTCAGATTGCAAGTTATCAAGGGGCACTGGCATGTGCCTGGACACGGGCTGTTGCAGCACTTGCGTGTGGCTGAGCAGTCCGAGTCTATTACGCACACTGGGCCAATAAGGCATGGTATGGGAATGGGGCGTGTTGGCGGACATCTTCCCTCTTTTGCTGCAACATGAGATGGCATACAGGTACAGTGTACATGGTTGACAGGTGGCAACTCTCTTCAATGCTATGACAACAGTAGCTGGGAAGTTGAAGCATCTAGGAAGACAGTGTGAGCTAGTGGAACATCGGCAGTGATGTGAGTGCCCCTGTCAGGCTACCCCTTGCAGTTGTCCTTGCGGGGTAGGGTCCATACATGCACATGCAGCACACTGATCTCACGCATTATGGAGCTGTTGGCCTGGGCAGTGCTTGCGATGGTCAGCAGGTCACAGGCTCAGTAACAGTCGCGATTCTATGCTGCACAGGCCACGGATGCACGTAGAACTTCCCAACCCGGGGTCACGATGCACATCGTTTCAGGTGCTTATGATCGCCAGTAGTCTCCCTACAGGTCACGCCTCCCCAACGTATATGCATGGACACAGGTACAGACTTCCTATATGCTATGACTCCCCAATGTACAGACTTCCTATATGCTATGACTCCCCAACGTACAGGCATGCATGCTGCTTCCCATAGTACCTGCACTGAAGTATGGACAGTCACACTGGTACAGGATAGACATAGTTAGTGGAGGCAACCAGATGCATGTACTGTGTGCCTAACCAGATGCATGTACTGTGTGCCTAACCAGATGCATGTACTGTGTGCCTAACCAGATGCATGTACTGTGTGCATAACCCGATGCATGTACTGTGTGCATAACCAGATACATGTACTGTGTGCATAACCAGATGCATGTACTGTGTGCCTAACCAGATGCATGTACTGTGTGACTAACCAGATGCATGTACTGTGTGCCCAACCAGATGCATGTACTGTGTGCATAACCCGATGCATGTACTGTGTGCATAACCAGATACATGTACTGTGTGCATAACCAGATGCATGTACTGTGTGACTAACCAGTGGATAGTGTACAACAGAGCAAAGACGGACTCACATCAGCAACTGCCATACTGAACTTACCGCCACAGCCCAGTCCAGTGTACGGAGACTTGCATTTACACGTGTTGCCGTAGACACACTCACCACCATTTCTGCAGGGTGGGTATGTAACAGTTTTCCCCTGTTCTCTATAACTTTACACTCCCTCGCACCTCGTGCGTCTTACGCCTGTCTATTAGCACCTTCATTGGCGCCATTGCCACATGTATACTATCACATTTTGCATATAACTGGTCGAGGCACGCTCAACCAGGCCTCTTACTTTTCAAGTTTGATTAAACCTGTTACACTGGTAGCAGAGGATGGTTCCTACTCTGCTTTTGGCAGGTGTTCTGGTCGCTCTGCTTACGCTCCTCGTACTCGTCGTTCGGCTGATAAACGATATCAAGACCGCTCAGCGCGTTAGCCAAGGACACCGAACGATACATCCGAACTCGGAACCGTGGGAGCCAACACCCCGCCTTACGAAAGAGCCGCCTGTGTTTGGAGGAGATTCCGCTACATTCAAAGAATGGACGTTTGCAATGGACATGGCCCTACGGTCGTTGGCACTCCCAAATGCGGCACAGAGGGTCGACTACGCGGCAGGATTTTTGACTGGAAACGCTCGTCTTTGGTTGATAGCGGCATTGGAAGCTAACCAAGTGTTTTCCGACTGGCCTGCTCTGAAAGCGGCACTTGGCGATGTGTACGGACCACGGCACAACGAGGAAACATCGCGTATGGGACTAATTTCCGCAGCGCAGCGCGGGTCGCTGGACGCATACATTGCTGCTTTCACTCGCCTCAGCCTGCAAGTGCCGGAAATCGACCACCACACCAGAGCGCTGCTGTTCGTCAGGGGTCTAGTGCCGCACATCCAGCGACAGGTCATGCGTGAGCATCCACGTACCCTGGAGCAAGCTGTCATGGCAGCAAACACCGTGGAGCAGTCGTCAGGGCCACCGGCGTCGGGGCCACCAGCCAGTAGAGAGTCGCGTTCCGTGCCCAGCTTCCGTGGTCAGGGCCTCCGCAAGCTGACGGACCAAGAGCGTGTCCAACTGCGAGCAATGGGACACTGCTTTGCTTGCAGGAAGCCAGGCCACCTCGCTAAAGACTGTACTGAGGGTGGACAGCGCTACCCAAACGCTGGTCGCCAGTAAGAAAGGGGGTGCGCTTACTGGCGACGACCCAAGCGCCCACGCCGGTACCAGTCGCTAACCGGTTCGGAGCTCTGGAGGTTGAAGACGTTGCTCTCCAGGAACCTACGGAGCCGGAGACACCCATAGCTGTAGGAAATTGTCCCGTTGCAGAAAGGTGTCATGTCAGCAACGTCAGCGTCGGCAATGAACCTGAACACGACCTACTGCGCATACAGGGAAAGATCGGCGGTCGCCGTGCAGTGATGCTGATAGATTCCGGTTCGACACATGACTTCATTGCAGACAGTTTTGTTCGAAAGCATCATCTTGACACGGATGCAAGCTCAGCAGTGCTGAGCGTAACATTGGCGGACGGCTCGACCAGCGAGGTCCCGCAGATTTCCACACGCACGCTAAGGGTGACAGTCGGGGGCTTCAGTGAGGAACAGCACTTTACTGTGTATCCCCTGACTCGCTACGACGCTATTCTTGGCAAGCCGTGGCTTACAAGGAACAACCCCAGCATCAACTTCCGTACGAACGAAGTTCAGTTGGACGGTGAGCCCTTTGTTGCCAAATTGCCTTCAGCTAACCCGCCGACAGCCGACCGGCCATCTGTGGAAAGCATGTTTATCAGTGGCCGACAAGCTCGTCATGCCCTGAGGAGTGGAGCCGAGGGGTTTCTTGCATGGGTCACTGCTGCAAACGAGGAGAATCGTTCCGGGCCACAACTCCAGGAATCAGAGCAACAAGACATCCAGAACCTGCTCAAGAGGTACCAGGATTTATTTCCAGACGAGCTGCCGAATGAGCTTCCACCGAAGAGACCAGTCGACCATGAAATCCAGATAGAAGATGGAGCCAGACCACCGTCTCGACCCGCCTACCGCCTGCCGAAACCAGAGATGGACGAGCTCCAGTCACAGCTATCAGAATTACTTGAGAAGGGATTCATTGAGCCAAGTAAGTCGCCATACGGTGCACCTGTGTTTTTTGTGAAAAAGTCGGATGGTACTCTGAGAATGGTGTGCGATTGGCGAGAATTGAATAGAATTACGATCAAAAACAAAGCTTGTCTTCCTAATATTGATGACTTATTCGACACGATCCAGGGCAGTGCATATTTCTCCAAGTTGGACTTGCGGTCAGGCTACAATCAAATCAGAATTCAAGACTCGGATGTTTCTAAGACGGCCATTAATACGCCGTTCGGCCACTTCCAATTTAGAGTCATGGGATTCGGGCTGACTAATGCCCCGGCCACCTTTCAGTCTCTCATGAACTCTATTCTGCAACCGCATCTCCGAAAATTCGTTGTAGTATTCTTGGATGACATTCTAGTTTTCAGCAAGACCTGGGAAGATCATCAGCATCATCTTCAAACAGTTCTAGAAACACTTAGAAATAGTGAGCTGTATTGCAAACAGTCTAAATGCGAATTCGGCGTGAGAGAAGTTCTCTTCTTGGGGCATAAAATCAACGGCACATCAATTTCCCCTGATCCCAAGAAGATAAGTGCTGTGGAAACATGGCCAACTCCGTCGTCAGTAACTGATGTGAGGAAGTTTCTTGGCTTTGCAAACTATTTCCGAAGGTTCATAGATCGACACTCGACCATCTCTCGCCCATTAGAAGAAATCACCGGAAAAAATTCACGCTTTGAATGGAGCGCTGCTAGACAGAAGGCATTCGAGTCTCTAAAATCAGCATTACTCGAGGCGCCAGTGTTGCAACTGGCCGATGTTGAGAAAAGCTTCATGGTAGAAACTGACGCAAGTGACTTTGCCGTGGCGGGTGTGCTCCTGCAGCAGGGAGAAGATATGGATTTGCATCCCGTAGCCTATTGTAGTCGGAAACTGTCAGCTGCAGAACGCAACTATACTGCGGCCGAGAGGGAAACGTTGGCTGTGGTATTTGCATTAAAGTGCTGGAGAATCTATCTATTCCGCCACTTTGACCTGATGACTGATAATATGGGTGTTGTCTATTTACGAACCAAACCGACTCTCACCAAGCGTGAGGCAAGATGGGTAGAGTTTTTAGCTGACTATGACTTTACGGTCTTTCACAAACCAGGAAAGAAAAACATTGCCGACCCGCTTTCACGCCGTCCAGATCTGTTCAGTGATTCTGAAATACGCGGGTCATCCTATCCTCCTAACATTCAGTTGAATGCCATAGAGCATACCCTAGAGATTAATCCAGACTTAGCGCAGTTAATTGTCAACGGTTACAAGTGCGACAAGGATCTTGCTCCCATTATCAGGAGACTGAAAAATTCAAGCCATGACAATCTGCACGACCGTTACCTTCTAAATGAAACACCCGGTTATCTTTATCTCAGATCTTCACCACAGAACAGGTTATGCATTCCAAAGAGTAGCAAACTCCGACTCGCCCTGCTTCAAGAATACCATGACTGTGTGACTGCGGGGCATCCCGGTCGAGATCGCACCTATTTCAGACTCTCTAGATATTTCTATTGGCCCAGAATGGGACTGGATGTAAAGGCGTTTGTCAAGTCATGTGACGTCTGCCAACGAGTTAAAGGCGGCCAGCTAAAAACTGGTCTCTTGCAGAATTTACCAGTGCCCAGTCAGCCGTGGGCAGATATCTCGATGGATTTTATCATGGGTTTGCCTAGGACCGATACAGGTCATGATGCTATATATGTATTTGTAGATCGCTTGACAAAGTGTGTACATTTAGCACCTACTTCCTCTACTATTGACGCTAAAGGAAGTGCTGATCTGTATATTCAACATGTATTTCGACTTCATGGTTTGAGTTCTAGTATTGTATGTGATCGTGATCCAAGATTTACGGCAGCATTTTTTCAGGAATTGTTTGATCGCTTAGGAACGAAACTAGCATTTAGTACTGCCAATCACCCTCAGACAGATGGCCTAACTGAACGAGTAAACAGAATAGTAGAGGATGTGCTGAGGGCTTTTGTAAATAATAAACAAGATAACTGGGATATGCTCCTACCTCTCTGTGAGTTTTCTATCAACAGCGCTACTCAATCATCTACAGGAAACACACCGTTCTTCTTAAATTACGGTCTAAATCCCAGAGCGCCACCCGACTTCCTCAACCCTATTCAGGGAGGCAGAGATTCAGCTGATTGGTTGCAAGCAAGACAAGACGCGGTCAAGATCTCACAAGATGCGCTAGTGGCAGCTCAAGCTCGTCAGGCCTTCTATGCAGATCGGACAAGGGTCGAGGGAAAGCTGAAGGTGGGAGATTTGGTAATGGTCTACCGGGATTTCCTCCTGACTCCTGAAGCTCGGGACCGACCATCCCATAAATTACGCCCCAAGTGGTTTGGCCCCTTTCCTATAACCCATGTGGTCGGCCCGAATGCCTACAAGCTCAAGTTGCCTCATACCAGCCGCTGTCACCCGGTATTTAATGTGTCGGCACTCCGTGCCTACGAGAAGAACGCTATTCCTAATAGGAGACAGCCTACGCCTCCGCCTATCACGGACCTTGATGGTCATGCCCGCTATGTGGTGGAGAACATTCTCAGTCACCGCCGCCGGCAGAATCAGCTTCAGTACCTAGTCAAGTGGCAAGGCTACTCTGATGCCACTTGGGAGCCTGAACATTATTTGTTGGATGAATCTGGTAATGACATTGTTCCACTTCAGAAGTACAAAACCTTGGCTTCTGCCCGCTGAGTTTTGCAGTTGAACTTCTAGTTTCATCTTACACATTTGTTGAGCTTATTACACTTTATTTGCATGGAGTTTCAGTCGTCTTATTGTGTTACTTCAGTGCGAAGCCTTTTTTCGTCTCGCACGTGTTTGCGCTTATTGTACTCTATTCCACTTGAGCATTTGGGTTATAAGCTCCTTCCTCTCCATAGGAGGGGGATGATGTAACAGTTTTCCCCTGTTCTCTATAACTTTACACTCCCTCGCACCTCGTGCGTCTTACGCCTGTCTATTAGCACCTTCATTGGCGCCATTGCCACATGTATACTATCACATTTTGCATATAACTGGTCGAGGCACGCTCAACCAGGCCTCTTACTTTTCAAGTTTGATTAAACCTGTTACAGGGTAGCATGCTGAACCAACTAATACACACATACACACACACACACACACACACACACACACACATGTACACACACACACACATGTACACACGCACACACGCACACACGCACACACACACACACACATGTACACACACACACACATGTACACACACACACATGCACACACACACACACACACACACACACACACACACACACACACACACACACACACACACACATACACACACACACACACACACACACACATGGAGGTGCAGCTCCGGAGTTAGAGCCCATTCTGGTAACTAACAATCCAGTTTAGTAGCAGTGGTGAGGCTTCCTGCAGCTTCATTCATAGGAAAAAAAGGTTCCAGAGTAGACCCACTCTCTTCCCATTCCAGGCAGTCACTCTGCAAACTCAAACTCGTTTCTCGATCAATTATTACGTTTCGACAATCCAGATGATAGGAAAGTGTTTGCTCCCCACATTGTTCCCCACAATCCATGATCACGGCTGCTGCTAGTATGGCACAGAATGCCTCCAAAGTCTTGTGTACTCTACATGCAGATATTTTTTATCAATTGTCCCCTTCTACCACTGATACACGATGAACATAATAAGTATTATGTGTATCCAGAGCCGCCGCAAGCAGTTTGTGATTGGTCCGGTAATACAGGCGTCCCTCTTTAGTCCAGCACTTTATAAACCAGCACCCTCGATAAATCATCACAATTTTCAGTAGCCAAAATGTCCTCTTCATGCACATTGCAGCAGTAAATCCTGTTTGTTAATCCAGCACCCTCCCCGGCTAATCGAGCAGATTTCCGTGGCACAAATGGTGCCGGATTATAGAGGGAGCACTGTATCATGGCCTTTCATACACTTTGTGTATGATAATGGCGGGTGACATACCCTCCTCAGCAGTATACATGCATTGGTGGCCAAAAGGTTGGTCCAGTGATAAGCTGACCAACCGGACCGGCGGGCCTGGTATCACACACACAACAGGAGTATTGTCTCATTGTCCCATGAAATTATTATCACCCATAGTTTTTTGTAGCTGCAAAAGCGCAGGATCCAGTTATGCCAGTGTAGGTTGAATGTGTACACTCATGATCCACTGGATGAACCCAAACAGGACCTTTGAAGCACAAGCAGTCATCACCCAGTACATCCCCTGCAGTTCACTGGGACACTCTGCAGCACTTTGCTACCAGCTACACTGGACCTGCTAGAGTCCTACCTTGGCAATACGATCCACCATAGTTAGGTGGGCACTGGCACACACCACGGACACATCGTCCACCGTTCCTACATGCTGGCCTGCAAGTGTTTGCATCTGTACACCATACAAGCCAAGAGAGACAATGCACAGTACATGTATGCTGAGTGAGTGCTGTATGTATATAATGATAATACCTGTAGCACACTCAAGCGCAGCCGCATGTACAACACACTGATGTGAAAGTTGTACTTCAAAATATTGACCACTGATCATTTATGCTTGGAAACGACACAGGTACCAGTGGATGTTGAAAGCAGTGTTAGCGTAAAGACACTCGAACATTCTACTTCACCACCCATGACATCACTGTCGGGTGCCAAAGAGCTGGGGAGTCAGCCTCGTAGCCTGGACCGTTCTTATTTTCATGTATAGCAATCAATGCTTAGCAGAGTCACCTTGCACACATGTATATCGCTATGCTGTGCTTGGTGAAATTCTAGCCTGTCCGTTCTTCTGCACTACATGTCGGTTCTTCTGCGCTACATGTCGGTTCTTCTGCGCTACATGTCCGTTCTTCTGCGCTACATGTCCATTCTTCGGCACCGGAGACTACTGTAGCTCCTCCTACACCAACACAATGGAATATCGTGTTACAGACATCATCCAGTTCTCGCTCTTACCATTAACTTGACAATAGGTTCCTGAAAAGCCTGGCGGGCACGAACACTTGTTTCTACCTATGCATTTCCCACCATTCCTACAAGCCGGAGAGCATGTTGGTGGAGCTGTAGTGCAAAGTCAGAACACGAGTACACAAAGAAACAGTTCATATTAGATTACAGAGGGGGGGGGGGGGTGTACTTGCTGAAAAGCAACGAAAACACATCAATAGCAGCTACAATGTACTAGGTCCCCTAGGTTGCCTTGGCAACCAATCCTACTACACGTGCTGGGAATATGGCTCGTTAGAAGCTCAGCAAAGCATTTGACATTATTATGTACATGCTTCTCAAGTGAATTGCATGAGTTTGTTCAATCAAATATAGTGAAAAAAACTGGCAAGAAAATTCGGTCAGTTTACTTTTAAAAGTAGACATCAACACATAGCATTCTGGAAACAATGAAACAATGAAGAAATGGAACAATGAAACAATGAAACAATGAAACAATGGAGAAATATGATTGACTACAAGTACTTAGACATGCCATGACAGTCAACACGTCGCTAGTTCTTACTTTGACAATATGTGCCAGTGTATCCACTCCTGCAAATACATGTTCCATACGATGTACATCTGCCACCATTTCTACAGGCCGGGGAGCAGGTCCGGGCTAGAGACATACACAATAAGACCATAACAACATGTACACAGCTGTGAAGAGATGGCACGTTTTTTTGCGTTTATTATACTGAAGCAAATGTGCAGATACGATGGATTAGAACTCTTGGCCAAACCATTTAGCTATATTTGCATATATAATATTATATCAATGCGCTACAATGCCTCCAAGAAAGATTATGGATTAGTTAGACATGCCATGACAGTCAACACGTCGCTAGTTCTTACTTTGACAATATGTGCCAGTGTATCCACTTCTGCAATTACATGTTCCATACGATGTACACGTACCACCATATCTACAGGCCGGGGAGCAGGTACGGGCTACACACACACACACGCACGCATGCGCGCACACACACACATATATAACAATACCATATTTTAAAGAACTACACAATGATGTATTGGGTGCGTGGCGGATGTAGCACCGTTATTATGCATACGGCTATAGTACTTGTGGCTGTGGTACAGTCCTTGTTTTCTTGTTTTATTTACTATTCACCAGTAACACAGCCCTACTGGAAAACATGTGGAGAACAAAAAGAAAGAAGGGAAATGACCAAGCACAGGGGAGGTGGGGATGGTGTGCCCATGTGTTGGGAGCAACTGAGCCGACCAGATGTGTGATGTCGTATACACAAGGACAATGCCTTAGGGCGGCTATACTTGAACCATAGTTTCCTCACTCTGCTCTTTTCTATTTTAAGTCTTCCTATTTCGGCCCAGCAGTTGGCTGATGATCATGGTTCGCATGAAACCGTTTCTCTTTCTCATTCTACTGTATGCAAGGATTCTGACAGCTTGACATTGTTTTAAATGCAGTAGTTAGTCGCACCAGTGGCACCAGTGATAATATGACACTGTATACAGACCAGACCATCACTTCTAGAATGACTGTTGATAAGGATTCACAATAGTGCTTTGTATGCTAGTTCTTACTTTGACAATAGCTACCGGTATATCCACTCCTGCAGTTGCATGTTCCATAGCTTGTGCATGTACCACCATTTCTACAGGCCGGGGAGCAGGTCCGGGCTAGAGACATACACAATAAGTCCATAACAACATGTACACAGCTGTGAAGAGATGGCACGTTTTCTTTCAAGTCCGCTATACAGTTTTAGAGAGGACCATAAGTTTACAAGTTATCTGTTCATGCCGCTAAGCATCAGGTCGTTATATGTCAGTATCACATCAGTCAGTTTTGTGCTAATTTTGCACCTTTTGACTCACCATTATCCTGCTTCTAATCATCAGTGTTGGACAAAACGGATAACTCGTAAACTTATGCGGGTCCTCTTTTTTTCTTTATTGTATATTAGTAGACTATAGGTGTGAATGCAGCGCGTATGCGCTGGGGTGTGGGCGGTGATACCGGGGCGGGCGTCGTGCACTTGTGCGCAGCAAGTCCACCGGCACTTCGGAACCACCGAAGGCAGGCATGGCACACACACACACATAGACACACACACACACACACACACACACACACACACACACACCTGAAAGCGTATGTACTTTGTGTGTGGAATGCCTATGTGGATGCATATAGTGCTGCATCATCAGCCTTCTATCACGCAATCTTACTTTGACAATAGCTACCAGTGTATCCGGTCCTGCAATTACACTTTCCATTGCTGCACGTACCGCCATTGCGGCAAGCTGGAGCACACACTGTACCAATCATATACACATACACACATGGGCACATACACACACACACGCACACGCACACGCACACACACACACACACACACACACACACACACACACACACACACACACACACACACACACACACACACACACACACACACACACACACACACACACACACACACACACACACACACACACACACACACACACACACACACACACACACACACACACACACACACACACACACACACACACACACACACACACACACACACACACACACACACACACACACACACACACACACACACACACACACACACACACACACACACACACACACACACACACACACACACACACACACACACACACACACACACACACACACACACACACACACACATATATACATACACACACATACTGTTGTGAATTCCAGCAGAAATCCAAGATAGCTCGATACCGGGAAGGTAGAGCCGTGACACACTACAGTCCATTCACAAAAAGATGGGCCCTGGCTCTGGCGAGCTCCCGTATTTGGCGATTTTTCAAGATTTTATCGTACAGGGCAGTGCTGCGAAGTTTGAAATTTGAAAAAGGGTCCAAAAAGGGTACCTGAACTGGGGTTCGAACCGTACAATGCACTGTTGCAGGCAGGATCAAATGGCCTGGATTTTGATGGTCTTTCCCAATTCAGTGCTCTTGGGGCAAAACCTGGCCGAAATACTATTCTTGTTACGGCTTGCTTTTTGGAGAAATAGACTTTAGAAACATAATTGGAAGAGGATTCCATAGGGGATTGCAGAAAAAAATTCTAAAAAATTCAACGTTTGACCCATTTATGGCCAAAAGCTAGAAGTCCATCTTTTTCTGAATGAACTGTAGTCAGAACAACAGATGGCTTGATCAGTCACAACTTAAAGTTTCATGCCATCTAAGGCACTCATCAGGTGATATGAACATCAAGAAAAATAACCCACTATTTAAAGCCCAGTATGGCGGGACAAGGATAACAGAAAGCGCTAGGGGCGCTATAAACTCATATCCGATTCAGTGTCTTAGCCAGTAAGGATCGCGGTACTAAGAAAGGTGATAAAGGTGATAAAACCGAGCTGGCACAGCTAGTGAGATGCGCCGTGCAAAGATGATGATGGTGACAAGGCGGCAGAGGGCTATCAACTGGCCCTACTGCCTGGACTTCGCGATGCGTGGTTGAAAGGTAAGAACTCACTGCTTCGAATTATCGGCATGCTGCTCGGCTCCATCCTAGCTTTCGACATCCGCTCAAGTAATCGTTTAGTCTGCGCCGGACTTAATACAACAGCAACAGCGCCACCAGCAACAGCAGCGCCAGCAGCAGCTGCAGCAGCAGCACCAGCAGCGCCAGCACCAACAGCAGCAGCAGCGCCAGCAGCAGGAGCAGCAGCAGCAGCAGTTGCAACTCCACCAGTTCTCCAGTTCTTTTCAAATTGTTAAATCAGAATCCAATGGAACTGCTTTGCATTCTTCACGTAAGGCCATCTAGAATTAATTCGTTGTTTCGGGTCATGACGTCACCCGACCGACCGTGTTTTTTCACCCGCCCGCAAAATGTTTTTTTTATAGTGCATGCAGATGTACAGACTACACTATGTACAGGCTATGTACAGGCGCGACCCTAATAATAGCAGTCCAGATATCGACCTCAGAACCAGCCATTGCTAGCCAAATGACAGGATGCAGCGCTTGGTGACGACGTTGTCTTCTATCTCCGATCCGCAATCGGTCCTGAAACAGCATCAGCTCCGCCACCTTGTCGCTATTTACAGAAGTTTTCAAGATGAGAGCTGCTCGTCAGACTCGTTTGCCAGCGAGGCAAAGATCTGGTCCTGGAGGGGACATGGATCTGATGGGACAATGACTGCGCTGGATTATCTACACTACAGTCAGATTTGATCGACTGGCTAGATGGACAAAAGCTATTCGATATGTACATGTATCATGGACGTAAACCAAAATAAAAAATAAAAATAAAATAAAAAATAAACCCGACCGACCGACCCTGGTACGGGCACGGATGAGTGAAGTGACCCGAAACAACGAATTAATTCTAAGGGCATGTTCGATTGTACGAATCCATCAGCCCCGGACCCGGATTCGCCAGATTCGTACATGTTCGATTGTACGAATCCGGATCCCGAGAGCACGGATCCCGATCCGACCAACCCACCTCCAAAAGGCAAATTCGACGGATTCGTCAGATTCGTTTTCTACGTTTGCGAACTTTGATAGTTCGCCTTGTTCTCTAAAATTTCCGATTTCCGGTGATAAATTCGCCTTTCTGTTTTCCTGCGTTTTGAGCAGGCTTTTTGGTTGTTTTTCTGCCGGATGATCTGACCTGGCTTGACCCGGCTGGCCTGCATGCGCCAGGTACCCTCTGACCGGGCTGTGTTGAATGTCTAGAGCAGGCCCTGACTACATGTGCGTGTATGATAATAAGTAATGCTTACAGGGGTACACGCTATTTTAAAGAAAAATGTAGCAATGTAATGTAACTGCATGACTGGCGTAAAGTCTACGTGACGATCTCAACTACCATACCAGACAATACTAGACAGTAGTAGCAATAGTTAGGCAATAGCTTACCTTTGGTCTGACAATATTGTCCAGAGTAACCTGATCTACATCTACATCTGTTATAGCCGATACAGGTACCTCCATTCAAGCATGACCTGCTGCAGCAGACTGCGGGATCTACGTAACACATTGTTGAAACATACATGCGCACGTACGTGCACACAAACACACCCACACACACACGCAAAGCAACATGACAAGGACACTTGAATAATCTGAACTACTGGTGACATGAAGGCAAGCTATGTCTACTTCACTCCTGGCCCGTTTGTTGAGACGTGTAGTATGAACGGTGTTGAAAGAAATGTCCAAAATGATTAGAGGGGAAGGAAACGTTCAAAATGGTTAGAGAGGAAGGAAACGTTCAAAATGATTAGAGAGGAAGGAAACGTAAAATGATTAGAGAGGAAGGAAACGTTCAAAATGATTAGAGAGGAAGGAAACGTTCAAAATTATTAGAGAGGAAGGAAACGTTCAAAATGATAAGAGAGGAAGGAAAGAGGAAGATGAGGATTGCAGATACTAGTACTGTAGTTAGGTTTTGTCTGTACTTGTAAAAACTGCCGGTCAAACAGTTACTGTATAGCAGGAAATTTTCGGACGGAATTTATTTTCGTACGATTTCGTACACGGCCTCTTTTGTACTAAAATTAATTCCGTACTAAAATTTGTTCATGTGAAATTATGTACACTATACATGCGTACTGCATGCAAACACGTGTATTTAGCATGCAGCACAGTACGAAAATATAATCCGTACGAAAGGTCGAAATTCGGCTTTGTCCGAAAATATTTCCGTCCGAAAATTTCCTGCTATACAGTATACAACATAGTCTTCCAACAGTGGAGCTGCAACCCAAGGTGATGTGTGTATCTGCCCAGTAATTATGTTGGCGCGTAGCTTGTGTTTGTGTGTGTGTGTGTGTGTGTGTGTGTGTGTGTGTGTGTGGAAGGGGGGGGGGGTGTCAAGTGTTCTGATAAACTTACAGAAAGGTAAATCGCGAATCTCTGGGACGCCTGGCTCACTACGAGACACTGGTCCGTCTAGAAATCGAGGGCACCGGCATTGTCCTAGGATGCAGGTCTGGCCGTTTCGACACGATGGTGTACACACTGATTGCAAAATGGAAATCAAAAGTAAACCAGACTATGATCAAAGAATATGAATTCCCCACACATCACCACACAACATATACAAACACATATAAAAACCTCTACCAAATCGTCACGTTGCGTTGTGATGTCTGCGGCATTCATGCTCTTCATAGCCCTTATAAAACTGTTGTCTCCCCATAGATTAGTTATGATCAGAGACATTGTCATATTGGTCTACTGTAGGAAGAGAGGATGAATGAGGAAACTGAGTACAATATTCTGTTTGGTGCTCTGGTCACATGCTACATCATAGTAGACCTGGGAATGGGCGTTAACCGGGCTTTCCAGGCAGGCTGGAAATATGATGGAAGAAAGTTGCCTAGACATTCTTTTGTGCCAGCTGCAGAATATAATTTGGGTCTTTGTACTCGGCCCATACAGCACAGCAAACAACAACAGAGTTGCATAGCCAGTGGCCGGCAATGGCGAACGTTGGGCTGTGTTTGCTTTGCGCAGACTCGCACCGAACCACCATGATTGCCATGGCTACGCACAAAGACACGTGCTTTCCAACTCTCTTACGACCGTTGGAAAGCGTAACTGCTGTTAAGAGAAGGATGTCCGAGTTTTTGCAGCAAAGAGACCATTTTGAAGTGTGTGTGTGTGTGTGTGTGTGTGTGTGTGTGTGTGTGTGTGTGTGTGTGTGTGTGCGCGTGTGTGTGCGTGTGTGCCATTGCTCGACCTGTGATCGCTGCATGAAGAGTCAGGCTGGTTTTAACCGCCATAATTGTACTCGAGGCAAACGACTGCGAAAGGACCAGAGGACTAATCTGCCCATTCAATGCAGCCTATGTAGCGAACGATTCTCCCGCCCGCAGGACCTCCCCCGCCACCGAAGACCGAAACACTGTGTGTAGAACGGTCCCCTTTTCACCTCAATTACTCTCCTTGTTTCTTTTCCTTTCTCTCTGTTGTCTCCCGCTTCTGGGAGCGACGTGGCCATTTTGTGGCAGTTGTACATAGAAGCAGTAGTAGTGTGTGTGTGTGTGTGTGTGTATGTGTGTGTGTGTTGGATGATGTAAATTGCTGCGATGGAGTGCACAAGTAACAACGTTAGTTTGTAGAGTAGACGGTTCGATACCGGAACGCCTTGACAGCCAAATTTGTATAGACCCAAACCGATCATCAGCGTTGATTTTTCACTCGAAATATGTTTGTGGAAGGAAACTGGCATGTTGAAGTTTGCTCTGGGGCCAGAGTCAATCGAACTGAGCCACTCCTTTGTGTTGACCCATTGCCTCCAAGTTGCCCAATTTTTCGCTTCAAAAAAGTTCAAATCAGAGGTGGCTCCAAACCGGACACGTTTTAAAGTGCACGTCAAATTCACTCTGGGTCTGAAATTAGGTAATTGCTATCGCTCCACGACGGCCAGTACAGAGTAACAATAAGCCGTGTGTGTGCTTCCATTAGTTTTGATTAGTATGCGGTGCTTTATTGGCGAGAGGCGAGCCGCTGTTTACCTGCGACAAGAAGTTGATTTTTCGAAAGTCGTAAACTCAAGTTGCAGTGCGAAGCAACGCGTCAAAAACTCACCTGCTTGGTATGGCGCTTCTGGTCATCGCAGAGCAATGAAATTTTGGCTCGGAGTATAACACATCGTAGTCTCACTGTGACATATGTTTTCTAATCAAAATACCAAGAGAGAAAGTGAATATTGAGTCCGTTCCGGTTTGCAACCTGCGTCCTATTTGAAACCGTCGCCTCTACCGTTGTAGAATAGTAAATGTCACTACGTGTCCGTTCATGATATAAACGCAATACACAATATCAGAAGGACTGTTCTGGAATATTCCCAGCTTGTGGTGAATCTTGCATGACCTTTCATTGTACTCAGGTTTCATTCCTTTTATTCTAGTGCATGCTGCTGGCGCCTGATGTATTGACTATTGTTACCGCAGGCCAGTCTCAACCTTTGCATTGTCTGAGATTCAAGTAGCGTATCGTTTGATGCATGTGCTGTCTCCATGCTATCTAGTCGTAATATATTCACTCGTCTTTGCATTTGTGCACAGTCCTGTGGATACTCGCAGGCTGCGGTTGCGCTCTCGCTTTGGTCATTCTAGAATGTATACTTCCATGCCTTTGAAGTTTTTTAGTTGTCAGTTTTGAACTGTAGGAAGCAGTTTACAGTTTGTGTTCTTGCAGTTTTATCTCAGAGGAGAAAGTTCTTGGTCTCATACTGTTACGAGTTGCTGTTGTATCTGGTTGAACGCATGCCGGGGCAACAGAGGGCAGCATGAGTAGCCAAGGACTGTACATACTTCAACATACTACCTACCTCTAGCCTGACAGTAGCTTCCGCTATACCCAGATCTACATCGGCATTTTCCAGACACACATGTACCACCATTTGCACAGGACGGTGAACATGAGGGAACTGTGGAGCAGATCAACACACAGAGATTTGTAGAGGTTAGTTCGTTTAATCAACAACACACTACACAGTTTGCACTGACCTAAGCAGGGCAGATCGTCTTAACACCAGCTTCAAGTCATCAACACAACATCAATAGAAAACTGGTATTTGACAGCATACTGTAAGCACATTGACTGGGTCATAAAATATCAACTCAACTAAGAATTTATAAGAAAGAAAAAGGGCCAAAGAGCTAAAAGTTACGCTACAATGTCCACTAACACCACCAGTTACTAAACAATCAGCTCATGCGATAACATTGCACGACACTGACCGACGATACTGACGTTCTACAACTAACTGGTTCACAGCTCAAACACATTTTGGATGTGCACTCCAACAGCCTTCCAACTTGGAAGGTTCTAAGTTTTAGAAATAACTGAAAAAGAGGACTAGCAAAATGCTGGGCCAAGCAACGGTACACAAAACATAGAGCTTGAGGCTAATACGCTGTTCCAAAGAATCGAGGCGGTATAAGCGAAGAACTAGTTCAGTGGGTGTGGCACGAATGAATCCAAAAACTCTCTTCATTGCTATGTGACTAACGGTCACAATCCTATTGTGCAGAGTTGTGCTTAAACAATGTAGGTAAGCATTACTGGCATAGTCTAGGGTAGACTGAGCAAATGTTATTTCAAAGACCACTGTAGCAATGTAATGTAAGCATGACTGGCGTAAAGTCTACGTGACGATCTCAACTACCATACTAGACAATACTAGACGTTAGTAGCAATAGTTAGGCAATAGCTTACCTTTGGTCTGGCAATATTGTCCAGAGTAACCTGATCTACATCTACATCTGTTATAGCCGATACAGGTACCTCCATTCAAGCATGACCTGCTGCAGCAGACTGCGGGATCTACGTAACACATTGTTGAAACATACATGCGCACGTACGTGCACACAAACACACCCACACACACACGCAAAGCAACATGACAAGGACACTTGAATAATCTGAACTACTGGTGACATGAAGGCAAGATATGTCTACTTCACTCCTGGCCCGTTTGTTGAGACGTGTAGTATGAACGGTGTTGAAAGAAATTTCCAAAATGATTAGAGAGGAAGGAAATGTTCAAAATGATTAGAGAGGAAGGAAATGTTCAAAATGATTAGAGAGGAAGGAAACGTTCAAAATGATTAGAGAGGAAGGAAACGTTCAAAACGATTAGAGAGTAAGGAAACGTTCAAAATGATTAGAGAGGAAGGAAATGTTCAAAATGATTAGAGAGGAAGGAAAGAGGAAGATGAGGATTGCAGATACTAGTACTGCAGTTAGTTTTTCTCTGTACTTGTGGAAACTGCAGTCCAAAGAGTCATACAACATAGTCTTCCAACAGTGGAGCTGCAATCCATGGTGATTTGTATATCTGCCCGGTAATGGTGGTGGCGCTTTGCTTGTGTGTGTGTGGGGGGGGGGGGGTGTCAAGTGTTCTGATAAACTTACAGAAAGGTACATAGCCAATCTCTGGGACGCCTGGCTCACTACGAGACACTGGTCCATCTAGAAATCGAGGGCACCGGCATTGTCCTAGGATGCAGGTCTGGCCGTTTCGACACGATGGTGTACACACTGATTGCAAAATGGAAATCAAAAGTAAACCAGACTATGATCAGAGAACATGAATTCCCCACACATCACCACACAACATATACAAACACATATAAAAACCTCTACCAAATCGTCACGTTGCGTTGTGATGTCTGCGGCATTCATGCTCTTCATAGCTCTTATAAAACTATTGTCTCTCCATAGATTAGTTATGATCAGAGACATTGTCGTATTGGTCTACTGTAGGAAGAGAGGATGAATGAGGAAACTGAGTACAATATTCTGTTCGGTGCTCTGGTCACATGCTACATCATAGTAGACCTGGGAATTAGGGTTAACCGGGCTTTCCAGGTAGGCTGGAAATATGATGGAAGAAAGTTGCCTAGATATCCTTTTGTGCCAGTCGCAGAATATAATTTGGGTCTTTGTGCTCGGCCCATACAACACAGCAAACAACAACAGAGTTGCATAGCCAGTGGCTGGCAATGGCGAACGGCTGTGTCTGCTTTGCGCAGACTCGCACCGAACCACCATGATTGTCATGGCTACGCACAAAGACACGTGCTTTCCAACTCTCTTACGACCGTTGGAAAGCGTAACTGCTGTAAAAAAAGGATGTTCGAGTTATTGCAGCAAAGAGACCATTTTAAAGTGTGCGTGTGTGTGTGTGTGTGTGTGTGTGTGTGTGTGTGTGCACATGTGTGCGTGTGTGTGTGTTGGATTATGTGAATGGCTGCGATGGAGTGCACAAGTTTGTACCGTTGTAGAATAGTGAATGTCACTACGTGTCCATTCATGATATGAATGCAATACACAATATCAGAAGGAATGTACATACTTCAACATACTACCTACCTCTAGTCTGGCAGTAGCTACCGCTATACCCAGATCTACATCGGCATTTTCCAGACACACATGTACCACCATTTGCACAGGACGGTGAACATGAGCGAACTGCGGAGCAGATCAACACACAGAGATTTGTAGAGGTTAGTTCGCTCTTAAATGAACAACACATTACACAGTTTGCACTGACACAGCTAGGCCAGATCGTCGTAACAGTTAACACCAACTTCAAGTCATCAACACAACATCAAGTGAATACTGATATTTGCCAGCATACCGTAAGCACATTAACTGAGTCGTAAAATGTCAACTCAACTAAGAACTACTAGTACTAGTAGTACCGTATTATCCTGGAGTCCGGGAAATCGTTACACAATTAATTTGTAGCACCAGCTCTCAGGACACATCTTGAATAGTTACCGCTGGTCGTATCTCTATAGCTGGTCATAGCTCTATACCTGATCATAACTCTCCAGCGGGTCATAGCCATACTTATAGCTGGTGATAGCTCTATAGCTGGTCACAACTCTATAGCTGGTCATAATTCTCTAGCTGGTCATAGCCCTATAGCTGGTCTTAGCTCTATGTACCCTAATTATGTATGAGTGGCTGCAATGGTGTCTACGAGTTCTTAGAAAAACTATAGCTGGTCAGAACTCTGTAGCTGGTCATAGCTCTATAGCTGGTCATAGCACTATAGCTGGTCATAGCTCCACAGCTGGTCATAGCATTATAGCTGGTCATAGCACTATAGCTGGTCATAGCACTATAGCTGGTCATAGCTCCACAGCTGGTCATAGCTCCACAGCTGGTCATAGCTCTATAGCTGGTCATACTAGTAGCTCTATAGCTGGTCATAGCTCTATAGCTGATAATAGCTCTATAGCTTACTTTGGCAAGAGCTACCACTGTAGCCAGGTCTGCAACTGCATGATCCGTAGCGACATGTACCACCGTTGGCACATCCTCCATAACAGACTGTGCATCCAATGTTTGACAAATTGACAATCCATGAACATGAAGCATAGAGTAGAAATAAAACCTCATGCAGTTATGTCCTCATGCAGTTCAATGGAATATCAACTAAAAGAAACCCATACACCGCCCCCCCCCCCACCCCTCCTTTCATTCCATTTGTGAGCCAAAACTGGGAAGACCATATAAATAAAATTTGCAAAATATGAAATGGGTCCAATACACATTGGGGCAATTGGGGGAAATCCCTCCTCTTGTAGCATTGTACAGTAAGTAGCTGGCAGTACAATCATGTACATGTACATGTACATGTTACAGTCACCAGCAACCACACCACCACCACCACCAGCAGCAGCAACAGCAGCAGCAGCAGCAACAGCAGCAGCAGCAACAGCAACAGCAGCAGCAGCAGCAGCAGCAGCAGCAGCAGCAACAGCAACAGCAGCAGCAACAGCAACAGCAACAGCAGCAGCAGCAGCAGCAACAGCAACAGCAGCAGCAACAGCAACAGCAGCAGCAACAACAGCAGCAGCAACAACAGCAACAGCAGCAGCAGCAGCAACAACAGCAACAGCAGCAGCAGCAGCAGCAGCAGCAGCAACAGCAGCAGCAGCAGCAGCATCAGCAACAGCAACAGCAACAGCAGCAACAGCAGCAGCAGCAGCAGCAGCAACAGCAACAGCAACAGCAGCAGCAGCAGCAGCAGCAGCAACAGCAGCAGCAGCAGCAGCAACAGCAGCAGCAGCAGCAGCAACAGCAGCAGCAGCAGCAGCAACAGCAGCAGCAGCAGCAGCAGCAGCAGCAGCAACAGCAGCAACAGCAGCAGCAGCAGCAGCAACAGCAACAGCAACAGCAACAGCAACAGCAGCAACAGCAGCAGCAGCAGCAGCAACAGCAACAGCAACAGCAGCAGCAGCAGCAGCAGCAGCAGCAACAGCAGCAACAGCAACAGCAGCAGCAACAACAGCAGCAGCAACAACAGCAACAGCAGCAGCAGCAGCAACAACAGCAACAGCAGCAGCAGCAGCAGCAGCAGCAGCAGCAACAGCAACAGCAACAGCAGCAACAGCAGCAGCAGCAGCAGCAGCAACAGCAACAGCAACAGCAGCAGCAGCAGCAGCAGCAACAGCAGCAGCAGCAGCAGCAGCAACAGCAGCAGCAGCAGCAACAGCAGCAGCAGCAGCAGCAGCAGCAACAGCAGCAGCAGCAGCAGCAGCAGCAACAGCAACAGCAACAGCAGCAACAGCAGCAGCAGCAGCAGCAGCAGCAACAGCAACAGCAACAGCAGCAGCAGCAGCAACAGCAGCAGCAGCAACAGCAGCAACAGCAGCAGCAGCAGCAGCAGCAACAGGAGCAGGAACAGGAGCAGGAGCAGGAGCAGTGCTCTCATACATGTATGCCGGTGTCATTCCCTCAGCGGCCTGCCTGTTTCAGTCCATGCACTCGCAGCTGCTGTACTTCAGTAGTAAACTGTGCGGGGTACAGTCTGGCCGGCATACTCTACTTACCAGGGGTAATTCTGTTGGAGCATGTACGGCCAGCAAAGCCAGGCTGACATAGGCATCTTCCACCGAAGCAGAAGCCATTCTCACAACGAGGAGAACACGGACGGATGGGAACTGTAATATCATGGGAATATTATGTTGAGAATAGAGAAATAGAAAGGAAGTAGATTGCAACACGAATACATGGTTAATAATACTTGTAGTCATGAGTACGAGTCACTGTCCACTACTGTCACTAGATAATATGCCGTGAGAAAGTGTGACAACTATATATGGGCAAAATGCTGACAGATCACTGAGATGCTCAATGACCATGATGACCCGGCACCTACATGTAGCTAGTTAATACATCTCCGATGCGCAAACCAATAACCTTCCAACTCGGAAGTTTCATGGTTAGGGAAAGACGAACATAGAAATATCAAGAGAACGATGATTGTGAAATGCTATTTTGAAGTCCTATACCTAAAAGCTCATACGTTACAGAGTGAAGTTCCTATTCATACATGTCGACACACAAATCTCGCAGTGGAGCGACATAGTCACAAGTAAATGCATGGCACAAGAAAATGATTATCACCTCGTGTTTGTCAAGTAAAGGATGCACTGTACCACTGCACTCAATATGTCATGTGACCTATTGTGTGTAGTATGGTGAGCACGGTCACTATCATTCTTCAGTGCGACTAGCCAACATGAAATTTACAAGGGCCTATACAACGCTATCTCGGAGTACATGTAGGTATTGCTAAACCACACAGAAGGCTGCAACTGCAGCTCCTACTGCTGCTACAGACAGTTCATGACTATTGGAAGAGGGGTACGGGGGCAGAGGGGTACGGGGGCAGAGGGGTACGGGGACAGAGGGGTACGGGGCAGAGGGGTACGGAGGCAGAGGGGTACGGGGGCAGAGGGGTACGGGGGCAGAGGGGTACGGGGCAGAGGGGTACGGGGGCAGAGGGGTACGGGGGCAGAGGGGTACGGGGGCAGAGGGGTACGGGGGCAGAGGGGTACGGGGGCAGAGGGGTACGGGGGCAGAGGGGTACGGGGCAGAGGGGTACGGGGGCAGAGGGGTACGGGGGCAGAGGGGTACGGGGGCAGAGGGGTACGGGGGCAGAGGGGTACGGGGGCAGAGGGGTACGGGGGCAGAGGGGTACGGGGGCAGAGGGGTACGGGGGCTAGCAAGTCCAAGGTACTTACAGTCTGGTTCAATTGGACGAAGGTCTGCCAACAGGAAATATGCAAAACACACCGGCGTCAGCCATCACAATGTAGTCGTACAGGTGATAAACATTCAGATAGACTTCAAAGTACCTAATGTACAAGTCAGTCATTGACACGGTCAGGGGAGGGTAACCATCTCTACTTCAAATAACTATTTTGAATGTGATCGGTGTGCTATAGGAATCAGTTAGTGCTAGAACTGGAGTCACCACTCAGCAGCTGGTTCTTGGTTATACAATAATACATGTACCATGCACTACAAGTGTCTGCTGTTCACATGTACATGTACATGTACATGTACATGAATACAGGTGTCCACGTGAGCAAGGATATACAATGTCATATACATGTACATGTACACGTATATGCATGCACACATGGACACACACCATCACCATCACTGCAAAAGCACCATCGCGACCACCACCTTTCAAGGGCGTCGGAACCGCACCGGCTGGGGCGGCCATGGCCGCCCCACTTTTTCGGTGGTTCTTTTTTTTTTTTTTTTTTTTTTAGCACACTGCAACAAAGCGCGATGATTAGCCCTTGGCGGATTATGCCGGCATAATATTTGCCAGCACTGCCTACGTCCACTGCCTCGCTGACAATGTGAGAGATCAGCTGCTGCGCATAAGTAAGAGAGCAGTTAGATGCATATTTGAGCATGACACATTCACGCGGACATCATACTTGCTTGAGCGATACCACATAATTAGCTTAGACAAAAGATATCATACTATTACTAAGTCCATATTCTTCGTGTTCCGTTGCATCCACAATATCTGCAATTCACTCCTCTCTAACATGTTCTCCCTTCGCCGTGACTGCGCTCACACAGACAGAGTAACCCGCGGCCAAGTCAATTATTCCCTTTCCTTACCCATTGTGCAAGCTCAAGCTGGATACAGATCTATTTCATTCCTTGGTGCTGACCGCTTTAATGCGCTTCCCGAATCCCTTCGCACAAATCAGGCCCCAATTCATTTCGCCAGGAACTTAACAATTTCATTCATCTTGGGCACCCTGTAAGAAGACCTTAGGGTCTGTTGGGAATGCCCAAGTAAAATAATAAAATACAATACAAAAAAAAATTATGCACCAAGGAATGAAATAGATCTGTATCCAGCTTGAGCTTGCACAATGGGTAAGGAAAGGGAATAATTGACTTGGCCGCGGGTTACTCTGTCTGTGTGAGCGCAGTCACGGCGAAGGGAGAACATGTTAGAGAGGAGTGAATTGCAGATATTGTGGATGCAACGGAACACGAAGCATAATCTTGGGATTTTGTCAAAAATTTATGCTCCGGCATAATAATACGGATTCCAACGTGTAAGATCGGCATAATCTTTCGGTTTAGACAAAAATTATGCTTTAATAGGGAATGGCCGTGTGTGTATGCGTGGT